TACTTAGTGTCGGGACAATTCATAAAATTATTCTTGTGTAATCATAAAATGTTTTTGGTAGATTTTTTATGCGAAAATTCTAATGTGAGATAATTAATTACTTTAACTTATTTGTGTTGTTTGTAAACTTTTGTATTACCTTCTTTTTTTGTAAATTTTTTAAGCCATGTATGTACAATGAAGGTGTTTTTCAAATTAATTTGTTCACTTTCTGAATTACTTAATTCTTATATAGTTAAAAGTAATATATATTTACCCATGTTGAGAATAAAATATTAAAAAGTAATACTATTTAATTTCATTCCTAATTATAAGACTTTTTCAAATTTCAATTAAATTACATTTTTTAAGAAAATTAGTTAATTTAGTTAAGAATATTGAATTTATCAATAATTTAAACTGTTTTTATAAAATTATTTTTAATATTAATCTCTTAAATTAACATTTTATCTTTTTACTTAATCCTTTTTCATCTAATTAAGTAATGTTTGAAAGAGAGAGATATTTATGTATCTATTTATTTTCTCCATTCATAATAAAAGAGAGACAATTTTTATCTAATTAATTTCAAATATTTATTATTTTTTTATCTTAAAAATTATTAATTAAATGAGGTGTTTTAGAGAAAAATAATTAATACAACTGATAATTATAAAAAATATTATAAAAAAGACTAGTAAAAAATTGAGTGAAAAGAGTATTAATTATAATATAAATTTCGAAAAAGGGTCTTATATAATATGTATTTCAATGACTTCGTACGTAAAAATGAGTAGCTCGAGTTGGTCTTCTCAAATTTCAAGTTATTGCCACCTGATCAATTCAATCAAACATCATGATGTTACACTGAGTAATAAATAAAATAGAAAATAACAATGTTAACTAGTGAAATAATACTGATTATAAATTCAGTTCCTATAGATTAAATTTGATCAACTATGGCTTGATCGCAAAGCAAGCCTTTAAAATTAACCATGTCATCTACAAAGGTGTTGGTAGATTCGCAACATAATTAGCTTAGAAATCGATTCACAACCTACCCAACATTCTCATTAGTTAGAAAAGCATAATTGTCAAAATGTTAATGAAATTCCATGCAGAATTCAATGAACATTGGTACTGTTGCACTTTCTAATTACTATCGTTTACCCCCGTTAATTATGAGTTTTCGAAATCTACAACTTTTTAAAATTAAAAGTATATAATAAACTACTCCAAAAAATTATAAATGTCAAATTATTGATTGATGTGACATATACTTTATTATATCCAATATGCCAAAATATTATATATTAAAAAAATAACCTATATTATAGTTATTTAATTGATTTTTACTAGGCTAAACACCACAAAAAGTACAATGAATCACAACATACAACCCTGGATCTGGCTCATAATCACCTCATTCATCATATTACAACCTCAAAAAAAATAAAAAACCTAACCTCAAATTATTTCATAGAAGCAATAATTGTGAGGGGGGTGGGGGGAGTTTCCAGAACTCTCAACTTAAGCTTTTCCACCTCAAATTCGAGCTTTTTAGATCCTCAATCAAATAACTCAACTTGATATATATACTTTATGGGCGAAATTAGAACTCCTAAATGGTTCAGATGAATAAAAGGTCTTTCTGGTTTCGAGAAATTTTTTTTCTAAAATTTGGAGAATGAAACTTATTCCAATTTTCAATTTTCTATTTATATATCAACCCTTTTCATAACCAACTTCAACCTCTTCTTAAACCATGACTTTATAATTTAACTCTAGATCCACTCATCCCTATACCTCCTATAAACAATGACAACTCAACATACAACATAAAATAAATCATATAATCAAACAATAACATACATATGACAAATAATAGTATTACATTTAGTCCTTGAATTTTTTTGATTTTTATTTTTAGTCTTAAACATTTTTTTCTATAAATATTTTCGGTCCTTAATATCAATATTTTTTTGGTTTATGAAAGAATTTTTAGTGATTAAAATAATATATATATATATATATATATATATATTTAAGAAATAAAAGAAAAAATAACAAAATTTTATAGACTAAAAATATATTTATTCACAAATTGAATCGTTAGATTGATAAAAGAACCAAATTGAATAATTTGGGTACAGTTCCACTCAAATAATAATAAAATTGAGCCAAAATATTAATCTTAATTTGGATTAATTAGTATTTATTTGTTACGATATTTATAAATAGTCCTATTTAAATAACAATTGTTGGAATATATAGTTTGTACTTCTATACTAATCTATAACTATAATAAAGATAATATATCTATTTGACATACATTTTTTTTTATTGTTTTATCTCTTTAACTATCTTTAAACAACACTTTCTCTCTCACTATTTTTTATTTTATTTTATTTTATCTTCTATTTCACCATAAAATTTTCTCTTTAGACTTCTTTCTCTTAGAAACCAGCTACTCTATTATTTTTATCTTTTTATTTTTATTTTGAAAATACATAGATATCAAGTTCTTTTTCTTTCACTAATAACATATATAAAAGGGAATAACTTTATTTGTGTCCAATTCTTTCAATATTTTTATATCTCACTATCATTTTTCAATCTTTTTCCACCAGTTCTTAAAGATAAAATAGGAATTAAAAGAAAAATATGCACAATAAATTAACTAACTACTCCATCGAAGATAACTGCTATTTTTTTTTAAATAGAGGAAATAGTGCCCTTTTTCTAGCTTGTAATAATAAGAGAAAAATAGATAATGCATCTCCAAATTAACTGTCTTTTTTTTTTTATATTAATAATGAATAATGATAAAGCTTACAAGTGATGTGCAGTTTTGCCTTTGACTGGAATAACAAAAAACAAAAGGCCCTGAACGAACCTTTGGGGCCCTATTGTCATAACTATGTCCCCTCCAATATTAGTCAAAATTTAGTAGCTGAATTGATGCATTCAAAGGGACTAAAATCTAATCCACAACCCCTAATTTCTTTCTTCGGAACAATCATCTAGCTTAATTTGTATTATCCCTGGCACTAACAAAACATCACTAAAAATAATAATAATAATAATAATAATAATAATAATAATAATAATAATAATAATAATAATAATAATAAAAGCCTATGATTTTGATTTGTCCTTGACCCACGTGCCACATACCAATAACATGGTGACACATGGCCTCAAAAAATAGAAAGTAGAAACTAAACGAGCCAATCACGGAAGAAGTGGAAGTGGCGCACATCCAATGCTAATTTTCCCCTCCTTTAATTATACCTTCACACATGCCATTAACCATAGTATATTATTATCTTTAGAGTAGATAATCTAGATTAAGCAATGACGAGAGAATCGTAGCTAGCTATTACTTTTCTTTAGTTGGGGCCATTGTACAAGAAGATTTGAAGAAAAGGTTGTTTGTCTTCATCTCAATGTAACCAAAAAGATTTGTGTGCATAATCCAAGGTCGAAAATCTAATGGTTCATGTGTGATAGCTAGGATTAAGGATGATGGGCATGCATACCTCCCCCTCAGCAACACCACAATAAAATAATGACAATTATAGATTAAGATATTGTTCTTTGAAATGGTGATTACGTGAGTTGTCCCTTCAAAACACTGAGAGTGGTGGGCAAGGAGACACTAAAATAGAGAACAAAATTATTCAAAGACACTTATTATTATTATGTGTTTGCCATTGTTGGGGGAGTGGGTTATACTGTGGACAGTGTATAAAGCAAGCAACATGGAGTAGAGGCTACATATGTGAATCACAATTGGGATTTATACTCAATTTTCTTCTAATCGATACTTTTTGAGCTGGAGTGTTCATCTTCTTTTTTTTTCGTTGAAAAAATATATACTAGATTAGTTAATAAGTTAACTCGTACAAATAAAATAAAATAAGTATATTGTTTTTATTTGAAGTAACAGTGCAATTCAAAATAAAGTAATAAGAATAAGAAATGAAAAGCAGATAAATAATTTTATTTTGATCAAACAAACTTATAAATTAGCCAAATCAAATAACATTTTCCTTTGTCCTTTCATATTTCTGCTTTTAATTTATTTTTGTGCGGAGTGTTGACAAAGATACTAACATTTTCTTTGACTTTATATATATACTTTTTTATGTGTGGACAATAAATAATAACATTTTCCTTAACATATTTGCTTTGTGTTTTATATTTTTAGCGAGCAAGTTTTTTTGTTATGTTGACAAATTGGATGGACTATAACTCAGCAAGTTAATATAGTAGTTATACATTTTGTACTCATTTTGGGATGATCTAATTAGCAAAAACTCGTATTTAATTCTCATCACGTACGAAAAATCATCAAATCATTGAGTAATATGAGCAAGATTAGTATTAGACGCAATGAACGAAAATGCTCGTGACAAGAAAAAAAATGGAGGGACTACTTTTTTTGTTTGCTTGCTCACTGTCTTTTCTTCTGAGAAAAAATTGAGCTTGGTGACATTTTAGTATTTTTGGGCCCAACATAGAGTGAATTCACTCTCCCTTACTCTCTTTTCTTGGAAAAATTGGGCCTTAAGATTTTTGGTCACTTATTAGATCCTATATTGGAGCCCCTTCATAATTGGGCTTCTCTTATTTTTTTTGGTTTACTGTAGGCCCAAAATCTGAATACTCCATCTTTTTGCTTCTTTATTTGGGCCTTATCGGGTTTTACTAACCGAAAACCCAATAAAATCCACATTCAAATGCAGCACCCAAACCCTAACCCTAACGGCCCACGATAAATAAACACACCTATAAATATCACCTCTAAAACCCTATTCTTTCATTCTTCCACCATATGCTTCTGTTGGCCGGTTAGGGTTCATTGCACCGCTCGGTGGTATGCTCCATATTACTGTTTTCGTTGATTCATTCTATGGTAGTAGTTGCAGTATTGTATGAATTCCGATTATGTTCATCACTATTTTGATTTCAATTTCAATTGTTATGTTTTTGCGTTGACGATGGAAAAGTGAAAACTCCCTATGAGGAAAGATCTCCCATAATTGATAGGAAGTGCCGTATGACACTCTAAACGCAGTGCCGATTCAAAGAACGTTCTCATCCACCAATTGTAGCTCTTGTTGCCATTGGTCGAGAACGTTCTTTTCGGTGCTGTGTGTGTGATTTGAAACGGGTCTCTGAGGGTTTTTTTTTTTTTAAACTTTAATTTTGAATTTTTTTTGTGTCCGATGCCACGTCGCTGGTAGCCACAAGTGAGCATTGACCAGCGATGCTATGATTGGACCAAAAGAAAGAGTGAAATTCATTCGTTTCGCATCCTGATAGGAACCTGCGGATCTCATGAAATTATGATCTGCGGAGCCGATTTATGCGATTACATTTCTTTTGTTCTATGAAACAATTTCACGTTTTGTTTTTATGTTATTGTCTGTGTGTTTGGTAGTTAGTGAAGCCGATGAGGATTAATTTGAATTGGAATTACCGTCTGAACACAATTGATGTGAATTTCTGGCTGACTGAGGCTTCACCACTGTTTAGCACCATCTTTGTGCTTTTGTAGAGTTGATTTTTTACACTTTTCAAAGCAAATATTATTTGAGGATGACTTTTTTTAAGACTTTTGTTTAGTGTTTGTTAAATGGTTATTTTTAATTAATGTTATAATTTGGTTGTTTAAATTTCGAAATACATGTTATAAATAGTTTGAATAATATTGGAATCAATGAAATGAAAGCCAAAGTTAAAAATTTGAGACATATTTCTAAAATTTGCATAGAAAATAAGGAGGACAAAAACGCTTTCAATATTTTTTGTATAAATTTTTAAATGAAATAACGCTGTAAATAAGAAACTATTTAATAATCTCAACATTGATATTTTCCAACAAAGTATTATTTACAAGTCTTTTCAGGTTTTCACAAGATCACAAGAAACTATGTATAGATAACTCACGTAATTGGAGATATAAAAATTCGATTAAGAGATACAAAGTTCTAAAAAGATATAAAAATTCGATTAAGAGATACAAAGTTCTAAAAAGATATAAAAATTCGATTAAGAGATACAAAGTTCTAAAAAAGTTTTAAGATACAAGTTTTAATGAGTTTTAAGATCGTCCTTAGATATTGTTCGAAACATCACTCATTTTAGAATTATAAGGCTCACATAATGATAAATATGTGTATCAATGTCTTTTTAAAGATCTTAGGCTTTCAATTCCTTTTTCTCCTTTTGAATGTGAGTTTCTAAATATAGAATCAATGTAGCTCCAACTTAATTACATCCAAATATAGTAGAAACTTTTTAAATTAATAATGTCAGGACCGAAGAAATTTATTAATTTAGAGAGTTATTAATTTATTGATAAATTAATAATTATTAATTTAAAGAGTTTTTAAGTAATTATATTGTACATATCAAATAAAAAGATAAATTAGTTTATGTCTTTTAGAATTACGTTGCAGCGAATCTTGAGACTTAACATAAATTAGTAATTTTTGAAGTACATATGCATTGAAAATTAATACGTAATGACTATTGAATCATATTTCAATAGAATGTAATATATTTTTTTTTCGGTTTCTATGAGTTATTAATTTATGATTTTCTTGGGATCGAAAATTATAAAGGGATCTCCCGAAAAATTATTATCTTATTATTTTATCTAGTTTTTCAATTTTTTACATTGGCCCAAGTCGGGACCGGACAAATTTATTATTTTAGAGAGTTTATTAATTATTTTTTAAAACTTGACATATTTATAGTGATCCTAAGTTAGATGTTGTTTTCCAATGTGAACAGGAAACCTAAATTCATCTTTTATTGGCAATCCCAACCCCTTAAGTTCATTGGATTTGAGGGTATTGTTCTAACTCCATTTGAGGAATAAGGCATTAGTAAACTGCATTTGTTACCTCACTATTTGGAAAGTAAAACTATTTTGTAACTTTCTAACTTGGATAATTTTCTCAATGATTTAGAAAGTGTGTACTTGTAATTATAAGTTTTCTTTTTATTGTTGTGGTTGTTGTTATTCTTACTTTCTAATATGTGTTTTTCTCCATTTACAAATATCATGGGCCGAAGTAAATGACTTAAATTAAAAACTAAGTTTAACTTGGGAGAAAAGGACATCTCAAATGATCATGAAAATCAAAGTAACCTTTAAGGAAAGAGAAAAATACCAAAAATTTAGTCAATAATGAAGAAAGTACCGAGAAAGAAGTTAATACTTCAATTCAAAAGAATTTTTTAAAGAATTATATTAGCAATGTCACCTTTAAGGAAGTAACAATATCAATGAATTTAGTTGTTGAGAGGTTGAATGAAAATACTAAGTTAATGAATGATAGTAGGGAGATATAAAAAACTCTTGAAGTTGGAAATGTGATTGAGACTTCTACTAGGACATCACTTCTTTTAGTTGAGCCATCTGTTCAACCATCTAGTTCTCAAGTCGAACCAATGAATCGACTAAGATGTGTTTATCAAAGGTATGATACCAATTGCCCTTTGGCAAGGTCAAATCACATGAGTATGTCCCTTGATGTCACTTTATTAAGGAATATTAACCTCATTGTAAAAGCATTTTATGAGGAGGATCCAACCTACATTACTAATAAAGCAATTATTGAGAATATTAGTCCACTTGAAGGGTCATATTCTGTACATTGTTGTTGTGGATCATTGGTAGAAAAATGGAAGAAGAATTTGGTACAAATGGATAAGATGAAAGTAGAGAATGCTCAAATCTAGACATTAAATACTGAGTTAAATGAGACTGAAAAAATCTAGTAAAAACAACTAAATCATTCACTATTATAGTTAAGGCTAACCAATCTTACTCTATAAAAGTTGGAAATTTATTGGACAAGTTGAAGGTTGTTGAAAGTGAAATAGAGGTTAAGATTAAGACTTTTGAAGAAAGAGTTACTAAAGAATTTGAAGATTAGATTAAGGAGCATGAAAATAAGGCTAAAATTCTTCAAGAAAAAGTTAAAATGTCTAGAGAAAATAATAAAGGTTTGCCAAAGTGTCATAGTTGCAAATGGGAAGAAAATTACCCACCTAAAGAAAGGATTAGAGTTGTCTAAGTTAACTAATGGAAACTTGGATAAAGAACTTATCAATGTACAATGTTAAATTGTGGTTGAACATAGAAGAGATTTTGTTTAAGCTATTCGCCAAGTTAAATTTCTTTAGGTATTGATCTTAATCAAGTTCATATTAATAAAGATGTTTTTGATGAAAAGTTTGTTGATGAAGATGATCTTCTTGATGATAATAACAAAGAAGGAATGAAAGAGAAAAAAAGAAATTATGATTGAATATGAATGAATAGTTTTTTATCATAGTAATTTTTGTAAAGATTGAGTTTGTTAGTTATTCCAATATTTTTCATTGTAATATTATATCAATAATATTAAGTGTTATGACTTTTTTTATATAAAATTTCTTTATATTAGCAAAATTTGATACTCAAATTACTGTTCTATGAGTTTTGCCAATTTTAATTAATTCAATAAGTATTAAACCTTTGAACTCAATTACTGTATTATGGCTTTGAATTTGACAATTTTATTAAGCATTATGGCTTCGAATTCGACCATTTAAGTTTTATTTAAACATGTAAAAGAATATATAAAGAATAAATAGAGATACAAGATAAATTAAATGATGCAAATATCTCAAAATAAAAGGAATTTTTCTTTACTTTAGATAACAATCATTTTTGCACAACTTTTTACTTTATTTACTTAAGGTGTACATCATTAAAACCTCCTCAATCAAAATTCTTATGTTTTTTACATAAGGAAAAAAGACCAGGGTAGGAAAAAAAGTACGTCACCTAAGGATACATTTTAACTAAAGTAGGACTTCAAATGAGTAGTATTCCAAGTTCTTGGTAGAACCTTGCTTCTCAACTCTATTAGTCTATATGCACCATTTTGTAAACTTTCTAATATATGGTAATGCCTTTTCCAATTTGCGACAAACATCCTTGCTGAAGAATCTTCCCTTGCTTTCCTGTTATTCTCCATAGTAATTCTCCTTCATAGAAACTTCTTGTTTTGAGTTTAGAATTGTATCATTGTGAGGTGTGTAGTTTGCAAACTTTTTCCTTTATCTGAGCATTTTCTCTAACCTTATCAAAGAGGTCAATATCATTATGCACTTCTTCGTTTTGAACTCGATGAAAAGCTAGCCTTTTGAGTTAGTTCCCTTGCTTCCATAGGAATTTAGCGTGCTCTTCCATTTTTCTTTACTACCTTCAATTTTTCTCTACCACTTAATTCATTCTTGTTGGATGCATTTTGGAATTTAGTATGTTTTTCCATTTGTAAATCCAGTGGCTCTTATGCAAAGTTTGTCCATATTAATCGGTTGTCTACAACATAATCTGTCAACAAAAGGTCTTCGTTTAAGGGACATGAGCATAGAATGTACGACAACTTCAAGATTGAGATTGCAAAGTTTCTCAATACAAATCGATTCTCTTCCTTAATGATTTTTCATCTCCTTGTCTCAAATTTGCAAGAGCACCTAAAGTAATATGATGAGGTTGAGTAGTGTCATATTGTGTTGTAAAGCATTGTACAAGAGTGTCAAAAGTTATCTATAGATCTCGAGGGTAATTAAGTATATAAACTCAATGCTTATCCTTTTAATGAAGTTGGGAAAACAAGACACATGATAACATATTCGTTTGTGTGGAGATTCATATGAGTAATGTAAGCATCAATATGCTCGTTAGGATCGATGTGTTATCATATCGTTTGATGTTTAATGTCTTCCACCCTATAGGAAGGGGGTTTTCCATTATTCCATCAACAAAAGGATGTCTTTAAACTATATAATGACCTTATAAATGATGAGATTGATTGTGAGTAACTTCATGTTCAGATTGGTATGTATGAGTTGGAGGAGGAGAATGATATTCTTCTTCTTAAGTATGCCCATGATTGGATTCATTTTTGTGATTGTTGATGTCACAATTAAGATCAAATGGTGTTATTTTTGTCAGTTGAAATCATTAGTCAAAGTTTTGTTTAAGGCATTTTGAATAAAGTCCTAGTTTCTAGAACCAGTTTTCTTTATTTTCGGTTTGTTATCATGAAGCGTGGATTGTTACCACGTGGGTTAGTATGTGTCATTTCCGTTTCATGTACGTGGGTCAGTACGTGTCATTTATGTTTCATTTCTGTTTCATGTAGGCTTATATAAGCCACTTTCATTCCATTGAATAAGATACAGATTTTCCTTCAATATTTCTTTACGTTACATTTCTGCGATTAACAATTGGTATCAGAGCTCCGTAAGGGGCCTGGTACAGTGTGAGGAAAGAAACATTGAGAAATAGTGAGAGTGAGGAAAAGAAAATATTTCAAAAGTTCACCATGTCTGCGTCTAAAAAATTTGTTCAGCCAGCCATTCCGAAGTTCGATGGCCACTATGAATTTTGGTCAATGACAATGGAAAACTTCCTACGAAGTAAAGAAATGTGGCACCTTATAGAAGAAGGTATACC